CATTAACATTTAATTAATTTTTAAATAATAAAATTAAAAGAGTGATAATTTTAATTAAAAACTTTTAAAAGGTGATACTTTTAATTAAAAAAATTTTTAAAAGTGACGTTCTTGTATATGTAAAATCTCCTCTCAAGTGGGACTAGTAACATGTTTGCTCAACCGTTGAATTGTTCATTTTAGTTTCTTCCAACCAAATTTCATCTTATCTTATGTTCAAATAAGTTGTAGTGAAGAACGTCAACGTACTGCCACAATACGTAAATGCCTTTTCTACGTTGAAGTATTCAATTTGCGAAGTGTTAATAATAGTAGATTGTTTTTAGGAGTAGAGGCCTTAACTGAGGTATCTTGATCTCTCGGGGTAAGATCATTAAATTCTAGTTTGCCCAATAGGCCTTACGCTGGCCCAACTAGTTTTACAATTTTCGTGACCCCTCCTCCCCCCCACCCCCCTCTCTTTTTTTGCGTTTATGCACCGGGCACAGCCTGTACAGAATAAGCTCATGTATCCAATTCCTTCAAGAATTTTTTTTTTTTTAAACAAATCTTCGAGGATCAAATTCGAACAGTTACCTTAAGAGAGGAAAAATACAGTTATATGTGACCTGACGTCATTGAACCGAAAGTCCAAGTGCCAATTCCTTCAAGACATTTGATGGTAAACCACTTCCAAATTCGAATGATCAATCCGTTGTTGGTAAATACAAAGCTATAACATCTATTTGTTGCTAGCATCATGATAAAGAAATACTAGCTACTTCTTTTTTTTTTTCACTCTTTTTCAACGCTCATGAACTAATTGGTCCATGTATTATTTTAAATTTAAATAACTTAATTTGTTATGTACACCAATAAAAAAATATATATTATATAAATCAATAATATAATTAGTCTTGATAATGAGTATCGCTATTATTCCTCTTTTTACTAGCAAATAAATCATTATTTGAGTGTAAAACAAATGAAGTAAAAAAATAAAAAATAAAATAAAAAAGGCATGGCCGATCATGTAGATAACCAATCTAAAAAATCACACATTTAACTAGTATGGCAGATCATATAGAGCCTTAATGTTTCAACAATTTTCAAGAAATAAAATCAGTCACAAATCATCT